GATATAGCTAGAAGGGTTGCATACTAAAAAAAATTAACGCAGATAGGGAAATGCATCATGTACTAGCGTATGTGATATGTAGTGGATCAGGATATTGGTTATTCAATTTTTGAAGGTGCCCACAAAAAATATTTCCTCCAAAAATGCTTAATTTGCTTTCCGAACAAAGCTCTATTAAGATTTAAAGCTTTGGTTAAAAAATATGATATAATTTATCTTAAATATTTGTTTCATGAAAAATAGAAAAACAAGTGGAGTACTCAACATACTATGTAGTATGGAGTGAACTAATCAAGATAACATATCATAATTTCGTCTACGGATCATGTTTTCTATCAATTTGGATTCATGACAAATATTCTTTTTGACAATTTGCCATAGTAAGATATCACAGTGATATACACATGCATACAATTGCCAATATAAGAGAATTATAAAATATTGTCTTTTGAGAAAAGAACACTTATCTGGTTTGTTTCAGAATACTGTTTGACAATTGTATGGCCATCGCATGATCTCTTCTAATGTTGGTATCAAACTATCATAGATTGTTATTACGATAATCATTGCAATCAAAATGAAATGTGCCAATTATTAATCTTGGAGTCTTTATGAACGTACATGACTCCAATTTCGCAATATAGTTTCTTAAACAAATTGCCATAGTAAAAAAATGCACATGTTATCTTCAAAAGAAAAACCTTATCTAGGCTCATCCAGGGTGTTATGCTAGTAAAGCATAGAGTACAATCAGCTCATTTCCAAATAAATTGTATAACATAATCACAATTTGATGTCTGAGCGTATTCAATAATTTGAATGAAAAGTATAATATTTACCAAACCAAATTGCAGGCCCAAGTCATAATAACATGATCGAATCATTATTGATCTTATAGTTATTTAAAAAACCAGGCCAAAAATTGGGTCCATCTCATAAAAAAAATAGGCTCAATTTAATTTGTCGAAAGAAACCATCACTTTGTTCGATTATTTGAGCCTAACAACGATAATAGCCCAATAATTTTTTAATTTTTTTTTTAATTTTTTTTTAATTTTTTTTTTTAAATGAGCAGGTCTGGCCCAACCCATGATCCTTCATTTTGATAAAAAAAACAGCAAAACCTAGCTGCCTCAATATTACAGCAGTCAACAAAAACAAAAAAAAACCATTACCGTTGGTTGCGACGAAGGAGCCAAATCGCGATCAACATACATCAACCGTCCATGATCGCGATTGGCCTGACGATCAGATTGGATCATCGAAGGCAGAAATTGCAACGCCTAAGGTTGTTTGCCAGTCCCCATTCGCTGAATCGCCGAGGGGGAAGTGAGACCCCAACGCGAATAGTCTGTTTGTCAGTTTCAGAACGGCCGGATCCGACGGAGGAACACCACCGCCCAAGGCCCAACATGCCGCCGCGGCCCTCTGCTGGAGCGCCGCGCCTCCGCCTTCTGCCAGAACGCCGATCGCACAGAACTACCGTCGGCAGGACGCAGATCGGAGAGGAAAAAAATGGCAGATCGGCAAAAAAGAAGGTAGTGATGATTATTTATTTTTCCTTTTTGAAAAAAAAATGTACATATATACATTTGAATCATTAATGTTCGAATACAGGAGTATATATACGAAAATTATTTTTCTGTTTTTGTTCATTCTTCCATGTATTTTGGTTTTGATTTCTATGCGTCAAAGCCAAAAAAGCCAGAATGTTAATTCTGATCTATCTATTTCAATTTTTGTTTTTCCAAAAAAAAATGTGTATATATCGAATTTAGTTTTTCGGAAAAAATTGTATATATGTGCGAGAAGAAAAAAAATTTCCAGAATATTTCTTACACATAATAAACTATGACCGCAATTCATGAGTTCTACAAAAAGAATTAAAACAAAATACATTATGCATATCACCATATTTCCAAATTTTCATGTATGTTTATGCTTGAACATATTGATTTGCATATAAAATATAGGGCAGAAACATATTCCACATAAACAAAATCTCATAGTATTAATATGTAATTTGAGACATCTAGAAATAATGCTCAGAAAACTCGTAAAAATACCGTTCACCGGGATTGAGCGTGCTGATAACGTGTTGTAATGTTGTTGTGTTGTTTGTGCCCGTTGGCCATTAGCTCCTAATCGGTTAATTGTAGGATTGGATCAATATAGATAAACGTAAATGTACAAGACAAAGAGAAGTAGAACAAGAGACAAGGAGAGTCATTCCATTGCACTAGTCCACTCAATACAATGTTACAACAAGCATATATAATGTACAAATAATAATGACGATACTAATGATGACCGTTATAACAGTTATGTATTGAATGCCCATAATGTCCACCATAATAATATATTTATAACACTTTTATGTTTTTTGTTTTTTTCTAAAAGACATATATTACATAGATAGAATTCATTACTTAGGACAATTTTAATCAAGTTGATTAGAGTATTGAATTTGCAAGTTTGATCTTGAGTAAAATAGACATACTATTTTTGTAGTTTAAACAAGTTAGCTCATATAGTGAGCGAATTTGTTTAGTTATTCAGAACTTCCTTAGAGCATTTTGAATAGTTTTTTTTTTTAAACAGTAAATAAATTATATGGTTGGTTTTTATCAGGAAAGTAATTTTTGGTTGGATTTTTCTCTAGCAATGGCGTTATTTTGTGGGGTCTGTTAAGAAAGAAAAAAACGTAAAACAAAGACAGATGATTACGCGTGGAACACAAGAATCGCACCCGCACATGCCTACTGGGAACGTAATTTTAAAGATTTTCTATTTTTTAAAAAAATTGTTGCAAGCCCTTTTATTTTCTCCCTTTTTATTACCCTTCCCTCACTTTTCTAATTGACACCTAAAAAAAAATGAAAAAAAAAAAAAAAAAAAAAAAAAAGAAAAAAGAGCTATTAAGGTTGCTCTTAGTCTATTTACATACATCATCAGTTTGAGGGGTAAGGAAACATTTAGGATTCTCTCTATGTGGCATGCAATTTATTATAATCATGTGATGTGTCTTTTATTATGGCATCTCGTTTGTACCGAGAAAATGCGAAGGTGCATTCATGGCATTCTTTAAAAATTATTTTTGCCGAAGATCACACCAGCATGTTTCACTGAAGCTTCAACTTCTCCACTTCGTACTTAGCACCCAGTTTTTACAGCCATTTAATTGAGTTTGAACAGAGATGAGTGAGCGTGTGCATTGATTGCGGCGTCGGCAGATGGTCAAGCACAAGCTTTAATTGGCGTTAAAAAATTGATTTAATGCCAGTGCACTTTAGGTGTTTGTAAAAATGCCTGTGAGGAATTGAAGACCGCGCAGTGAATGAATCGGCAGTTGACGGTGGATGTAGAGGCGCGAGACGTGTTATTACGAGGACGGGAAGCCACATTCACATACCTAAACGATATGATAATGTTACCAGTGTCGATGACCTGTGGCTAGCCTGCCAGTTTTGGAGTTTAGCTTTGTATATTTGTTCATGGGACCACACCGCACATGCCCTTCTGCCTTGTGTTACATTAGCATCATTTCGATGCCAATTTCCGATACAAAACTCAACTAGTTTGCCATTAAAGTAGAGTTGATAAAAAGGACAATCACTACTAAATTAGTCTATTAAGTTAGTAATTATAAGTAGTATTGTCAAAGTGGGTCGAAGCCCGCGGGCTAGCTTGCACCCACCCTACGATATATTACATATATAATGTTACACAGTAACTCAGTAAGACATCATTTTGCCTTGCTGTGTTGCACGAAAAAGGAAGCCCGCAAGGCAGGCTAAGGTTCCACGAATCCTAACTCGCAGGTCAGCCCGTGGTAGGGCATGCCTAATGGGTCGGCCCGACCTACTTTGACAGTACTAATTATAAGATTATAAATTTGACTCTAAGTGAGCAGTCTATTGTCCTTATAAATTCGACTGATCAACTAGAGATAACCTAGATTATTTTATCTCATTGTAATCTTTGTCAGGACCAGATTTACTCAATGCACACTCTTAAATAGTAACTGTAAGTTTTTCTCATCACTCAAAAATATAATTAATAGTTCTGATTTATTAAGAGTTGCAAGATAAGAGAATTTATAGACTCATTCATCACCAAAATTTCAGAATAATAACGATGAGGGTCTACGGGTCATTGGGTTCTGATTCTCTCTTTCTACAACCATACAAGTGAGAAGTGTTCTACATAAGCTAGCCCACAATGTCGTTTACTTGGTACATAACATTTGATATCACCAACTTTTGATTAACGTTGCCTGTTCACTTTATTGTCGTTTTCTTAGTTAAAAAGTTGGTCGCTTTGATTGTATGTAAGCTGGAAATAGCGATGGGAGGGGGGACAATGGTGCTTGTTGGACGCTCCGCATGTGGACTCGTGTCATCTTCAAAGTCTGGGCTCAATACATTTAAGTGCTAAATTATCATTTATTAATGTCAACATCGAACAGTGTAATTGTCATTAGTATAATCACATTACTTAATAACGCTTAATACGGAGCAATGAACCATACTTTTTTTAAGAAAAGATTTTAATAATAAGTGGGCCCACTGACCCTACTCCACTACACGTCCCCGTGATTGGTGGTGAAATTTATATTGCTGATTTACTGTGCTCTTGTCAATAGTAAAAAATTCAAACAATTCACATGGGTAATGTAGTTGTTTTTTTAACCAGCTTGGTTAGCGTGAGTGGTTGTGTACTTTTGTCCTTAGAAGTCAAGAATCTGAATCTCCTCTCGTATGGAAAAATTAATCTGGTCAAGTCAATTTGGTGCGGACTAAAATTAGTGTGAATATGGTATGAGTTTAAAGGTGTCTCCTACAATTATGGGCTATTTAGCACATCTCGTGGTCCGACAAAAAAAGTTGTAGTTTTTTTTTTTTTTTTTTTAAAGAATTAATTTATTGAAAGAAAAAAAAGGTCAAGTCCTTTGAAAAGTGAAATTACCATCTGTTTCACTTTTTCCAGTTTCCACCGCCATCCCTCCACTCTAAAAGGTGCATCCCAGCTGAGCTCAATTGCTAAAGTTAGAGATAGAGAGAGAGAGGGAGAGGGGAGAGGGAGGAGATTAATAGTTGTGTGAAAGGAAGGGTGTTTGTGGATCAATGGCATTTGCAGAGTTGATTCTTGTGCTGTTATCTATGGCGGCTGTAATGAATCCTTGTTTGTCTCAGCGGCATCAGCAGCAGCTGCTTTATCCCAACTTCTACCGCCGGAGCTGCCCGCGATTTGACCAGATCATGCAAGAAACCACCACCAACAAGCAGATCGTTTCCCCCACCACCGCCGCCGCCACCCTCCGCCTCTTCTTCCACGACTGCTTCGTCGGCGGCTGCGACGCCTCCATGCTCATCTCCTCCACCCCTTTCAACAAGGCCGAGCGCGACGCCGACATCAACCTCTCCCTCCCCGGCGACGGCTTCGATGTGGTCATCCGCGCCAAGACCGCTCTCGAACTCGCCTGCCCCGGCGTCGTCTCCTGCGCTGATATCCTCGCCGTCGCAACACGCAACCTCGTCGTCCAGACCGGCGGCCCGTTTTACGCCGTGAAGCTCGGCCGGAAAGACGCATTGGTGTCGAAAGCCGGTTATGTGGAAGGGAATCTACCCCGCCCCACAATGACCATGGACCAAATCCTCAAGATTTTCCTGTCCAGAGGCTTTTCGATTCAAGAAACGGTAGCCCTTTCCGGCGCACACACAATCGGATTCTCGCACTGCAAAGAGTTCAGCTCCAACATCTACAATTACAGCCGGGCATCGCAATCCGACCCGTCATATTACCCTAAATTCGCGCAGGCATTAAGAAATGCCTGCGCAAATTATCACCAGAACCCGACATTATCCGTCTTCAACGATGTGATGACTCCGAACAAATTCGACAACATGTATTATCAGAACTTGCCCAAAGGATTAGGGCTACTGGCATCCGATCACGCGTTGAATTTGGACCCCAGAACCAGGCCTTTCGTGGAGCAATACGCTAAGAATCAAACTGCCTTCTTTGAGGCATTTGGTCGAGCAATGGAGAAGCTGAGTACGTATGGCATCAAGACTGGGCGTTCCGGCGAGATTAGACGGAGGTGCGACGCTTTCAACAACTGAAGCAATTAGGGTTTCCTTTTGCACAGGATCGATCTCTGAGAATGTTTTGTTCTTTGCTTTTGCCTGCTGCTATTCAGATTCATCTCCATAATTTCAATTATGTATACAGTGTAATCCTTTTCATTGGTCGCATCTTAAACCTTAATTATATATATACATTTGTTTTTTTTTTTTTTTTTCATTTGGTCAAGAAAATATATCCATTATTACTATTTACCAAAAGCCTCCATATGTAATATTGCCTTCATAATTATGTTTGGAATTCTAATCCCTTAAAAATATAATGACATTAATTTAGAAAAAAATGTCAAATAAACCCTTATATTTTTACTCGAAATAGCAATTAGACTCCTGAACTTCAGAAAAGTGTAATTAAATACTCAAGCTTATCAAAATGAGTCAATTAAATCTGATATACCGGTGAAATTATGTAATTGACCACTATTCATAACTCGGTAAAAAAATTAAATTACTAGTAACCTTCGCAGTTTTTTCCCCCAATAACGACCGAACGGTCGTCTTATTTGGTAAAGAAGGCCCAAAGAATACGACCAGCGATCCAGTAATCTGGTCGTCTTCTCCAGTGGAGTAGATCGTCTTCTTTGGTAGAGAAGGCCCAAAGAATACGACCAGTGATCCAGTAATCTGGTCATCTTCTCCAGTGGAGTAAGAACGATTGATTTATGGGCTTTGGGGCCCAAATCATCAAAAAAAAAAAAACGAATTGGGCTGCATACTGGACCTATCTGGATTCATTGTCATGGCTGACGGCAAAGCGCGTATAAAGCCGCACCTCCACGCTTTCACGTTTAAACGCTGTAAATCCTCTTCTTCCTCGTATAAGGATTCTAGATTTTTAAAAATTGGGTTTTGGCTTAGGCTCCAAGACATCTCTCTCTCTCCCTATATAATCATCAAAGTCCCCTCCTTTCAGAGCAAACTCTTCAATCTTCATTAACCAATTCAAGAAGAAACAAGGCTAGAAAGAGAGAGAGAGAGAGATGGGAGGAGGGACAGAAGCTTTTCCAGATTTAGGAAGCCATTGCCAATTCTCCGATTGCCGCCAACTCGATTTTCTCCCCTTCAACTGCGACGCATGCCGCCAGGTTTTCTGTGTAGACCACCGATCATATAAATCCCACGCCTGCCCAAAATCGGACCGCCATAGCCGCAAGGTGGTGGTGTGCGACGCATGTTCCACGTCGATCGAGACCACCGGCTGCGGCGGCGAAGAAGACGAGAAGGCCATATTGCAGAGGCACCAGAAATCAGGGCACTGTGATCCCAACAAGAAGAAGAAACCCACGTGCCCCGTGAGGCGGTGCAAGGAACCTTTAACCTTCTCAAATACCACCGTCTGCAAGGGCTGCCAGATTCCGGTGTGCTTAAAGCACCGTTTTCCGGCGGATCACGCTTGTAAAGGCAGAGCCACTTCATCTCCGCCGCCGCAGGCGGCGGCCAGAGCCGCCAATAACAAGTTTCTGGTTGCGTTTGCGGCAAGGAACGAGAAAGATTGTGGAAACAAGAGCCGGGATTCCACGTCTTCTCCAACTATCACACCTTCTGTTAAAGCTTGTTGAAAAATTTAATCTTTCTTTCATTCCAACATGTCACCATTATCATCATCTGTAAAATTCACAGAATTTTTTTCATCCTTAATATATATACATTTTGCCAAGGCTTTATTTGCACTTAAATTTGAACGTGTATCTATAACACAAATCTGTATGCATGTGCACACATGATAACTAGAAATAAACATATCAGAAGCCAATTATCTTCACACCATAGCTTGCATTAAAGGCTTTGATTCAGCCATGACAAGAAGTTGACAGATGTTGATATCAAACGTTTGAAAGAAACCATTTTGTCCCTGCAAACCGCAAAAAAAAGACTCAACATTTAGCAAAACGAGAGATTTTGTTGTGTTTGTTCAGATTACAAAAAGGAATAGAATGGATATTACGGTTTTGAATTTGGAATTTGGCTTCGCAGGTACTGATCAACTGTAAGGGGTTTAGGGCCACCATACCAATTGATGAGAAATATCTCTTCAATTTCTAGTTTGAAGATTTGGAAATTGTGATTCTCTGGCCAGCCTGTAGGTGATTCAAAACATAGATCGTAAACTCGTAATATGTTTATAAAGAACAAATCATATAATGAAATAAGTGGAAAGCTATTACCTGTCATCTCAGGGTGCTTTGTGAACAATGCAGTTTGAGCAAATTGGGTTTCCTCTGGATTTCCATCAAGCAATTTGAACTTTAAAAACCGGAAAAAAAAAAAAAAAAAAAAAAAAAAACCCATCTTTAAGCAGCCAGCTAAGTATTGATAACATAAAAGATGCATTAATGTTTCAAGTACAGGAAAACAATCTGATTTAAACTGAAGACCAGAACGCAAACTACCAACCTTTCCTGTCAGCGTGATTTTAGAGCAGGTAGGATTCTCGGGATCTTTATCCCCACAAGTTCCAAGGGGATATTCACTGATCGTGAAGGACGACCTTGAGTCTTTCAATCCATAATCTGCAGTGGGATCAAGGGTCGTTAAATAGAAGTATGGAGTTCCACTACTCTTGTCAGGTGGTCCATCGCTAAATGATACAACGTTCCTGCATAACATGTGGGATAGATATAACCTTACCAACCAGGTCCAAAATACTCAATACACAAACACCAAAGAACTGCAACTGATACCAAAAACACGACAATTCATGAAACATCCTATGACTTATTCATCACTACATTGATTCTAATGGTTTACTGACATAGTCATATGTCCTAAACATCTCCATTACTGAAACTTGTGCTACAACTTTAGAGCTTGCACCACTGCACGTGCCAAAACGGGAGATCATTTACCCTCAATATGATCTAGGCAGCTATTCGAATCAATGTATTCCAATACCAAATTAGAACTGCATACTTGTTGTTGAGCATATAGCCATTAATGTGCAATCCAACTATGAGCTTAGCCTTTTAGTTGAGATGGAGCACATGCTTCAATTCTTGCAAACAAGACTCGATTCATCTCTTATACAGTAACAACATAACAGTCACTGCTCCCATCATTGGAAGCAACATACAAAACAACCAAAAGTAATGACATTTTGACAACCAAATTGGTCAGAATGTTGCCTAGGTAACCACAAGATTTTCCATTGGACACCTAGGATAGTTGTCCTTTACCCTTTGCCGATTAGGATTACAAAGTTAGGTTTACCCGGATACTGACTGCGGGTTTTCCACGTAACTAAAAAAAGAAATGACAGTCAAAAGCACAAGGTGAACATACCCAAAAGGTGCTCCTCCTAAATCACTTGCAATTGTACTGCAAACGAAGAAAAGCAGATCGTATTAACTTATACATCATCATCAACTATAAAAGAGTGGGCCTTGAAGCAACACTCAAGAAATTCAAATGTTTTCCATTCTTATGAGGTCCAACATATTTGATTTCCAATCGATTGGATATTCAATCATTGACCCAGAAAATTTGCGTCAAAATTCAACGCAGGGGATACCTCTGAAAATATAAAAAGATTGCAAATTTATTGCTCGGAATAAAATCAGTAACGCGAGATTAAAAGATACGCACTTGAGGACACCCCACGAACTCTGGGAAACTAACCACCGAGCAAAGGCGGCAGCATCTTCCGGCGAAGGTCTGGGGGCAGACAGTAGGAAAGGCCGTCCATGAACAGATTCTACTTGAAGAAGAGCCAATAACAAAATCAAAGAATATAGAGTGGCACTACCAATCCTTTCGATCGCCATTATCGTATGTAAATCGGAGAAGATAAGAAGGGGGCTCCTTGTCGGACTTGTGTGTCTGAAATACCAATGACACGGCGCTTTGGAATAATTTCGTCAAGAGCTGTACTGTGTGAAAGAGTACTTTTATTTATTTTAGGGAAAGGATCAAATAGGCACAGAAATTTATTCAAAAAATTAATTAAGCTCTTAAATTTATAAAAATTGTAATTAGATTCATAAATATATTATTTGGAAGTGTTAAAATTTAGAAATTAATTAAGAGGTCATGAGATCGAGCTTTAGTGGGAACGGTGTTGACTCTTTATGCTTCAATAGGTTAAAAGAGTATAGATAAACATATATATATATATATATATATATATATATATATATATATATATATAACTTTGTAAATATAAAAATAATTTGGTATAAATAAAATACGGAGTATATAATTATTAAATATTTATATTTTTAAAAATCATTTGAACTTTTAGTTTGATTCAGTCTTTAATTGAACCGACCTGAAACAATTCATTTTATAAAATATAGTACAAATTATTTTTTAATAATAAATCAAAATCTAACCGTTCAGTTTAGTATCAGTTCGATTTAATTTGATTTGGATAACTTGAATAGAAATGTTCATCCCTAAAATATAAATTAAAAAAAAGTAGTAATATTACACTCTCTTAATTTTTATATATTTTTTATTCTAAACTTATGTGTCATATTTTGACACATAGCTAAAGTTTTACCCAAAAATATATAGTTTGATGTTGGTTTAGAAATTACGGAGTAATATTTAACTTATAGTGCAAATTCTATTCATATTTGACAACATTTTTTCCAACTACTAACCCAAATTATATAGGTACCATTTTTAATATGGCATTGATTGAATGTGTTTTAATGTAATCCTTAGAATTATATAAATGCATTTAAAGAATATTGGTAGTAAGTTAATAGTATTATCGTCATTGCTTTTAAATGTATTTATTATAATTGCAAATATTATAACTCAATCTTTATTGAGTTATTGGTCCCTTAATTATCTTGGAGTTACAAATGTAGTCCTTATTTTACATTTGTTATAAATCTTTTTTTTTTTTTAAAGAATAAGGGTCAAATAGGCCACTCAACTGCATACCAAAGTGCAATTAGGCCATTGAACTCAAAAAGAATGCAATTAAGCCATTGAACAACACAAAAACGTACAATTTAGCCCAAAATGACTTGTTTACCTAGAGTAGCAAGTTACCAATTTCAAAATTAATTTTCTAAAATAATTTTTAATAAATAAATAATTAAAATATTAATAAATAAATAAATTTAAAAAAAAAAAACAGAAACTGCCGGAGACGAATCGTCTCCGGCCGGCTTTGTCTCCATGGCCGGAGACGAACCTCCGTCTCCAGCCATGGAGACAAAGACCTTCGTCTCCGGCCATAGAGACGACGTCCTTCGTCTCCATGTCCAGTCCCTTCGTCTCCGTCTCCCTGGCCATGGAGACGAAGGTCTTTGTCTCCATGGCCGGTGACGGAGGTCCGTCTCCGGCCACGGAGACGTAGCCGGCTGGAAGTTTTTGTTTTTTTTTTTTTTTTTTTTTTTAATAATAATAATTTAATTATTTATTTATTAAAAATTATTTTAAAAAATTAATTTTAAAATTGGTAACTTACTACTCTAGGTAAACAAGTCATTTTGGGCTAAATTGCATATTTTTGTGTTGTTCAATGACTTAATTGCATTCTTTTTGAGTTCAATGGTCTGATTGCACTTTGGTGTGCAGTTGAGTGGCCTATTTGACCCTTATTCCTTTTTTTAATTGTTGACTAACTGTAAATTAAATTTAATCCCTTTTTTATGTTTAATTGTTGTAAATTAAGTTCTTTAATTTTTGACCTAATTTCTAACCTATTCCGATCCTTCACTTATTAACTTAGTTGCAAAATGTAGTACTTAAAATAAAGAACTAATTAAACTAACAACTAGGTGAACAACTGAAGTACTAAATCTATAATAATTAAAATAAATAAACTAAACTTGTAATTCAAGGATAATTGAGGGACTGGTAAATCAATAAACTGGTGTAATATTGGCAATTATAAATAAACCAATAAAAATAAATATAAACATTTATATCTTACTATAAGATAAACATCAAATACTTATTCTCTCAAAAGTTGAATCCTCAACTGACCGTCTGACCAACTCCAAGAGTTTTATACCTGACCAGACAGAGTATTTAGAAAGATATAAATTACGCTGACTCAGTGACTTAGCAGACAGAGCCAAATGCTGGTGTGTACAAAAGATCTGTCTACTTTTTGAACATAATTCTTACATTAAAATTCAAATATTAATTTCTTCTCTTAAATACTGCATATTGTCGTTAGGTCCGTGCCGGCTAGACATAGAATACTATAAATAGATGAGACTTCTGGCTGCAGGTAAAAGTGTAAAACAGAAATGGCAATGGTGCCTAAACTCTTTCCTTTAGTCTTATATGCACTCCTCTTTCTATCCCTCCAGGTGGCGATAGGGGAGATACCATCGTCGTCGTCGTCACCCTTTAGCTTCATCAAACCCTTACAGGGATCCAAGAAAGGAGATGAAGTGAAAGGGTTGTATGAACTCAAGATATATCTCAAAAGATTTGGTTATATCAATAATCTCCCCTACAACAACACATCTCCTGAAGCCAATTATTTCTCCGATCAACTCGAATCCGCGGTGAGAACATTTCAGGCCAACTTCAACCTCAACTCCACCGGAGTTTTGGACTCCAACACCGTATCACTGATGATGAAGCCCCGATGTGGAGTGCCGGACATCATCGGCCGCCGGCACCGTCTGGTGCCGCAGTATTCTTTCCTTCCCGGCAATCCCCGGTGGCCGGACGACAAGAACGCGCTCTCATACGCATGGGGGGACGGCACTCCCTATGAATTTGTCACCTCCACGAAGGAGGCCTTACAACAATGGTCTGGATGGACTCGTCTCTCATTTAACGATCAAACAGACTACAATAATGCAGATTTAAAGTACCATTTGTTCGCCGGCGAACATGGCGACGGGCAGGCGTTTGACGGCCCCGGAGGAATCATTGCCCACTCGTTTCAACCCACTGAAGGGATTTGTCACCTTGATTCAGAAGAAAGCTGGGCACAAGTTGGTCCATATTATCCCTACGGTGTGGACATACAATCTGTGGTCACGCATGAAACCGGACACCTTCTTGGACTTGGGCACTCTGGAGTTGAGGCAGCCGTTATGTATCCTTATATTGGGTTTGGTGAGACCAAAAGAGTCCTTGACAACGATGATATTCAAGGAATTAAAGCTCTTTATCCTTAATGTATGATGTATCCTTAATAATATATAATTATTGGTGTGATAACAACATAAAAATATATACTTATATTCCTATTTTTATATTTTCGAATAAAAAAAAATTAAAATAACTAGTTGAGGTATTGTAAAGTTTTATTTTTGTCTGATAAAAATATATTGATCGAAGACCCTCTAAATAGAAAAGAATAATAATAATAATAATGGCTTGTATTGATGGGATACAAGATATATGATTCATTATATGGTACTCATACTGTTCAGAAAATACCAATACACCATCTAGGATTCTGAGTCAAGTATGAGATAAAACGGCTAACTCTATTCTGCAGATCTACTGTTCAACATGATATCAACCATGTCTGGAGATCTACGGTGCTTCCGCTTCCGTTACTACGAATTAAGTTTCTCGTGGATTAGTGGGAATTTAATATCCAAAACTCACCAACATGGTCGATAATTTACATATAGAGAAAAATCACACATCTACGATTTCTTAATTTTCTAAACACACCACACGCAATACATATCCACATAGTCTAAATTCAAAGTCTAAACATTATATAACAAAATATAAATCTAAAGTTCAAACACACTACTAAATACTATTGTACTAATCACCAAACATCATTTGTTGTTTTTTTTTGCCCAACCGACTCGACCTTCCGTTGACTCACTTAGATTGTTTTAATTACAAGATAAAGAATCATTTATCTATATAGTTAATATTTAGAGAACAAGTGTCAAATATTGTATAATTAATTTTTAGGCAAGATCTGTCACTGTTTGGAAAAAATATATTTCCAGTGCACTGGAAATATATTCCAGTACTAAGGAAATAATTCAAGTGCATGCACTGGAATATTATTTTTCAATGCACTGAAAATCAAAATTAGAATGATATTGAAGCACATTAATTTTCATAGAAACACGAAACTAAGGAAAATACTAAATATTGTAAGAATAAATGTTAGAGATAATTGTGAGGCAAAGAACAATTGTGGCAAACAACAAAAGTGCAAAGTAGACAACAAGCCATAATGAAATTAAATAAAAAAAATTAAGAGAAACACCCGTGAGAATAAGAGCTAAACAACGGAGCAGACATTAACTGTGGCGGTGGCGGAGTGGTGGTACTGGTGGTGGCGGCGGCAGTGGCGGCGGCGGTGCTACTAGGGTGGTGGTGGCGATGGTGGCGGTGAAGTAGGAAATAAATTTAATTGGGGGTAAAATAGGAATAGAAACTTTAGGCTATTCCTGAGAACTCAGGAATAGCCTAATACCAGGGGGGCAGGAATCTCTATTTCCCTTGCAAGGGGAATAGGTCATTCCCGGGAACAATGTTCCTGGGAATACAAGTGGTTACCAAACAGAGGAATATGTCTATTACTGGAAATGCTATGTCATTCCAGACCTATTCTGTGAACCAAACAGGCCATAAAGGACTTGAATTTACTTCTTCATTATTATTATTATTATTATTATTATTATTATTATTATTATTATTATTATTATTATTATAAACTAAATGGTATTCGGTTTAGGTATTTTATCGAATCGTTCAATATACAAGAATCCATTCGATTATTCGGTATATTACTGAACCAAACCGAATTGCCCACCCCTTTTTGTAATTCCTAGGTAGCTTACAAGTGGATTTGATTATGTGTTTCTGTATTTTTTTTTTTTTTAAATGCATTGATCAAATGTGGTTGAATATAATCTTCAAAATTATACAAAAGCATTTAAAGATAGGCAATTGCATTTATATGTATTTATTATAATTGTGAATACTATAACTATGTATTTATCCAAAAAAATAGCATTTTTTTTTAGAAATTTTAATTTTGGAAAAAGCACTTTGATCAATTAGTTATTATTTGTTTTCAAATTATACGTGAAATCCATATTTTTCGGTCGTTTAGTCAATGTTAATCAAGTTGATGCTACTCTATTACATTGTAGTATCTGTTCATATACTTTCTCAACCTACTGAAACACAAAGAACCAATAACGCCTCCACTGAGGCTCGAACTCATAATCTTCCAAATGGAAGTCCAACCCGGATACCATTAGACCACATAGTCCTGGTCTAGTCATTGTATTTCAATTGTTGTAAATCTAATCATTCAATTCATGAATTAGGTGTAACTGTAATCATTAAATTGTTGACCAAGTTACAAATTTAGTATTACAAATAATGAATTAGATTAAACTTATATATCAAGAATGGAAAAACTAAATTTACAACGAAATATATATATATATATATATATATATATATATATATATATATATATATATATATATATCAAATTTAAAAGAAGATAAAAAATCAAAATATTAAATTTACAATAACTGAAAGATAGACGCTGTAATTATGATTTGAAAACTATTAGAAGGACTAATAAATTAATAAATAGTGAAAATCTTGTTTTTTCTTTTGAAAGTAGTGAAAATCTTGTTAATTACGTACAATAAATGTACTAAAAATTGGCTAAACATAACACTATAAATCGATCAGATTGACCCAAATTAAAGCAAGGTAAAACTCGGCAGCTCATAGTCTTATTAGCAACTTGTTTAGCCATGGCGGCTAAAGTCTTTCAAGTACTCTTATATGCATTCCTCTTTCTCTTCCTCATCCTTTTCCAAACAAACATGGCGATATCGTCAGGTTTTGAGTTTATCAAACCGTTGCAGGGATCCAAGAAAGGTGACAAAGTGGAAGGACTATACAACCTCAAAAAACACCTCAAAACATTTGGTTATATTGATGATCTTTCCATTGACAGTAATAACTCTCCTGGAGCTGATGATTACTTTTCGGATCAACTGGAGTCAGCCATTAGAACCTATCAGACCAACTTCAACCTCAACTCCACCGGAGTTTTGGACGCCGACACCGTGTCACAAATGATGAAGCCTCGATGCGGAATGCCAGATATCATCAACGGCACAAACCTGATGCAGCGGCGCCGCCGCGGAGGAGCCTTTGAAGTGGTGCCAAATTATTATTTGTATCCCGGAATGCCCAAGTGGCCGGACAACAAACGCGTTCTCAAATATGGATTCGCCGGTGGTACCCCGTCTATGTTTTTCCGGCCTGTTAGGAGGGCCTTTGAAGAGTGGCATACCATTGGTCGATTCTCGTTCACAAGAACTAACTTCAGAAGCGCAGATTTAACTTTTCAATTGTTCGCCGGTAATCATGGCGATGGGTATCCGTTTGACGGCCCCGGAGGAATCAGTGCTCACTACAAGAAAAATGCACATAGACAACGGTTAATAACCGTTGTCGTAGGGGTATAATTTCTGTTGTTGAAGCCGGTGTTGTTGTAAGTCCCGCGCATAGACAACGGTTTTTTAACCGTTGTCTTTTCTAGAAACGACAACGGTTTTTTAACCGTTGTCTATTAAGTGTTGTTGAAACCGGTGTTGTTAAAAGTCACGCACATAGACAACGGTTATTAACCGTTGTCTTTTCTACCAACGACAACGGTTTTTTAACCGTTGTCTATTAAGTGTTGTTGAAACCGGTGTTGTTAAAAGTCACGCACATAGACAACGGTTATTAACCGTTGTCTTTTCTACCAACGACAACGGTTTTTTAACCGTTGTCTATTAAGTGTTGTTGAAACCGGTGTTGTTAAAAGTCACGCACATAGACAACGGTTATTAACCGTTGTCTTTTCTACCAACGACAACGGTTTTTTAACCGTTGTCTATTAAGTGTTGTTGAAACCGGTGTTGTTAAAAGTCACGCACATAGACAACGGTTATTAACCGTTGTCTTTTCTACCAACGACAACGGTTTTTTAACCGTTGTCTATTAAGTGTTGTTGAAACCGGTGTTGTTAAAAGTCACGCACATAGACAACGGTTATTAACTGTTGTCTTTTCTACCAACGACAACGGTTTTTTAACCGTTGTCTATTAAGTGTTGTTGAAACCGGTGTTGTTAAAAGTCATGCACATAGACAACGGTTATTAACTGTTGTCTTTTCTTTAAAAGACAACAGTTATAAACTGTTGTCTATTGTGTGTTGTTGAAATCGCTTTTGTCACACCCATAAACTGTTGTCTTTTGTAGAAAAGTCAACGGTTTCTAATTGTTGTCTGTTGTAAAATAGACAACGGTTTTTAATCGTTTTTCACCTGCTTAAATTATAATCATATAAAAATAATAATTTATCCATTCACCATATGTTGCAAAATGTAGTTACATAATTGTGCACAAGCTAATAAGGTTCAAAATAACAAGTCAAAAGACTTCCATGACCAATTCTAATTATCATCCAAGTCATAATACTACTACACAAAAAAAAATTCCACTAACCAATTCAAGTCCAAATGATCACAACGTTCTAATGACCAAATCATACCTACTCTATATGACTTGATAGAATATCGGCCCATTCAGCACGCACCAGATCAATAACCGCTTTGTCATAATCAACTTGTTGAAACTACATGTAAAAAGTAAGAAAATAAATTAGTATAGATATAAATAATTTGCAATGAAATGCAAAATAAGTTAGGAGTAATTCGGAAAGCTCTCCAATCTGGAAGGTTATAGTACAAAAAAGCTAGACAGGAAACACTAAAATGGCATACTAGAGTGTATTCGAGTAAAATCAATGCATTGGCAATACTTTCCTAATATGAATACAAATGCCCCCAATTGACAACTACCATGTGGGATGGATGGCATTTATCAATCTACCAGTCATGCTTTGCCTACTTTCTATTTTTTTCTTCCTCAAGGCCCAAGCAAAATAAAACACATTGCATCCTCTATATAATGCCACTGCAACCAAAAATATCAATACCAAACCACAAGCACACTTTAATTTGTATATAAGGATTTTGGCAGGCAGGATTTTGGCACTTAACACCAAACCACAAAGATTAAGCACACTTTAATTTGTATATATCAATACAGTATGCTTTCCAGTCTTCCAAAAAGGAAAGATAAGAGATGAATTATCATTATTCATCACCAAAAAAGGTAAGACATTAAGAAAATAATTGCTGACCATATAATTTCAATGAACAACAAATCAGAACAGCACACTGATTCACTTATGCACATACAAACAGTTAAGCTCACATGATTCTTCATTTCATGACTATATGCTCATTTTAAATAATCACCTAATGCACTTATATATGCACATACAAACAGATTTTCACTTCAAACAGAATTTTCATGTACATATATACCAGTGCTTGAACAGAATTTTATCATCGAAGTCTGGCATATTCTCAATTAAAGTTTTCATGTACGCCATGACAAAGAAACCGCATTGGTTACTATCCGGTTGACGAGGAGCCTACGAATGTTAAATAATATTTGCATTACAATTTAGCTATATACAAACACTTATATAGTTAAAAATATGAAATTACCTTGACAATTTCCCAAGCAGTTTTACTGCGTCCTTTCTTTCCATTCGTAGAGGACGCATGGACCATTTTAATAGCCCTTCATATATATTGTTGATTATTCAGATTATGTAATAATAAATCGAAAGAATGAAATTTTAAAAAATTTAAAAAAAAAAAAAAAAAAAAACCTAGCTTCAACCATTTGTTGAATCAGGTAGAATTGAACCATTTGTGAAAACCATTTTCTATAAGCTTTACCTTTGGCACCAATAACATACTCCACTGGTCCATACTCGTTTTCAATCTGCAGTAAACACAAAGACAATAATAGTTATACAATTAAGCCAATATATAATATAATCCATCTTCTTCCTTAGCTTCAATTCTAACCTGATTCATAATAATAGGTCCACCGTCAGGTTCAAACATTTTCTCCACTTTCATCATGTTCACAATTTTTTCAACAAACCGATGCATACCCACCTTGTTGTAATCACCATAGTTTAGTAAACCAGAATATATAGCAAAATATATATGAACAAATTAATTAAGTAGACAACCTTAAAAGGCTAATTGTCTGTTCTAAACTCAATCCCAGGCACAAATTTTAGCCAAACAGGGAATCCCCTGCACCACAATTCATACAATTAAGCTAGGATCCCACTTTACATGATCATATATAACTAAATGTATATGCATATAAAATAATCTTACCCATAATTCCATTCTCCACAAATATAAGGCCCAATGCGGTGATGAAGATACAGCCCTGCCTGATGTGCCAGTTTGAGAGCATTTATAAAAGCAAACAAGAAGAGAAAAAAGAGATGATTCGCTATAAGGATAATAAAGAATTATTGCTATGATTGGATAAGAGATATCTCTGGACATTAGCTTTTAAGAATCAAAAACCAGATCAGAATATTGGATCAACTTTGTAAAATTTCCAAAATAACCCTTTTTGTTTCCTTTATCTAATTGTTGGACATGCTAGTTTTGTTCACATCATACAAGTTCTCCAAATTATTTCAATAATATTTCATGTTGAACACACAGAATTAACATAATTAGAATGTTATTAGATGCAAGTAGTAAGCTGTGGTTTTTTCTATAAACATCAAAATTCAGAGTGGTTTAGAAAATATAGTGTTTGCATCTCAAAGTACATTTTGCTTCTTACTTTATTTATGAACCTGTATAAATCTTTTTGACAGATTAAATTTTTAATCATATAAATGAGTAAAGCAAATGTTTCTTTTTAATTGACATGAACAAATGCTAAATAGACAGCACTAGTAGTTCTGCTTGAAAAGTGATCTTGTTAAACTTCAGTGCTTATTATATTAAGGTTAAAAGTAAGGTTTAAATGTTTAATTCTAAAAGTATGATGAAGCAAATAACTAGGGATTTTAGCAAAACTAAAAGTTACTACTCGTACAGCCCAGGTTTCATAATTCATATACAGAAAATCAACTCAGTCAAAATCATAGCCAAAATCAAACTAAAGCTATATGCCTAGTAAAATACTAAAACATAGGGTAGACAAAATCATAGCCAAGAACACTCATAGCTTTCACATATGGAAAATTTAACAATACAATAAAGAAATTAGGAATTAGGGTTAAAAAAATTGAGGACTAACCTGGAGGGATGATGCAGCAACGGCGGCGGAGGTTGGAGGCGGCGACGACGGCGGAAGTTGCAGACGACGACGACGGCGGGAGTTGGAGACGGCGACGACGGCAGAGGTTGGAGGCGGCGACGGCACTGTCGGAGGCGAGGGCGGTATCTTCTGGACTTCGACACTGGGAGGCGACGGTGGTTTTGTGTGTTTGCGCTGAAGTGTTTTGGCAAAATTAGTTTTGTTTTGTGTTTTAATTCCTTCTTTGGCGCTTTAGTGTTAATATTCAAATGAAGTCAAAATTTACAAAGAGGGAATTATTTTATTTGAGAGGGAAGAAGATTTTTTACAAATTGTGCAAGTTTTGAAATTCAACATTTAAAGAATAACATATATATCTAATATATATTAAAGTCAAAATTATTTTAACTTTTATTTCTTTTAAAGAATAACATATATATCTAATATAATAAGCAAAATAACGAAAGTTTTATTTTTATTTTATACTAAATCTTCATTTTTTTACAAATTAAATAACTATATTGATGATTTATTATAGGGACCGGATCCACCATAAATCGGGTATATAGGTATATAACATGGGTAAGAAAATAGTAGCTTTATTACTCGGGACGCTAGGTCCAAAATAGTAGTTTTATATAAAATAATGTACTTTTGAAAAATGTACATTAAGTACATAAATAATGTACCCTTAGTATATTAAAAATGTATTTTGTTAGTTATGGTCCACACAATTGTGTGGACCATGGTCCATGCAATAATGATTGAGTACCAGGTATATAGGTACAGAACGGGGGACAAGAAAATATTAGCTTTATAGCTCGTGGTGATAGGTCCAAAATAGTACGTATAAAGCCCGAGGTACAAGCCTAGACTGGCGACCCAAATACAAAGATCACGTCCCATTTCCCTATAATGTAGATTCATAATTTCTATACAGTATATTTCTAATTTAAATACAGTTGTATAGATTAATAATTTCTATACAGTAAATTCATAATTTCTATACTACAGATTCATAATTTCTGTATTGTTGATTCATAATTTCTAAACTGTATAGTTATCAACACTTGGGAATATGAACATCGCAAATTATAAACATAAAGTTCAGTAATTGTGAATATAGATCAGAGTTATTCAATCATTATGAATATGCATTTCAATTCAAAAATTATGAATATATAGTTTGGTAATTATGAACATAGAGCTAATTAAAATCGCGGCAAAAGAAATGGGATATAGCTAACTGTACGGCATCGATCAACTACTCTTTCATATCCATTCTCAACGTGTCCCGGGCATGCTGGGAGGGTCGATTAACAACATATAGCTAACCTTGTTAGTCATTCGCTAGCCGGAAGGGTCGATTACCAACATAGCTAACCTTGTTAGTCATGCGCTAGTCGGAATGGTCGATTACTAACATATATATAGCTAACCTTGTCAGTCATGCGCTAGCCGGAAGTGTCGATTACCAACCCCGGCCCCTATCATACAACCCTTAACCCCTACACATCATCCCGCACCATTATGAACACCACCCCATATTGTTTTTTATACTTGATAATTATTATTATTTTTTTGAATTCATAGATTGGTCGTAATTGTAATATAATTGAAAATAAAACTTTAATAAATTTACTTTGAAATTCTGGTGAATAATTTTATATTTAAATATGAACGAAAATAGAACTATTAAATTAACTTTTGAATTGTATTCTTTCTCTGTTAAATTATAGGTAAAACATAAAGTGTAACACTTTAGTACACAAGAGTTGGTATGGCTTGGTGGATTTAGCTTTGTTTATTATGTTAAAGGTCTTAGGTTCTATCTTTTATGGTGGCATTCTTAACCTATTTTATGCAATCATTGTCTTGGTTCTCAAAGACAACACATAAGCAAACTGGTAATATACTAGATGTTGCACTTAAATACATAAGTGTTAGTGTGGCTTGGTGGGTTTAGCTTAGTTTATTATGTTAGAGATTAGAGATCTTAAGTTCTATTCTTCTTAGGGGGAATTCTTCGACTATTTTCTAAAATTGTGGTTTTGGTTTTCACAAACAACACAGAAGCAACTCAGTTATATACCAGATGTTGCACCTTTAGGCATAAGAGTTTGTGTTGCTTAGTTGGATAGATTGCTTACTTGTTAAGTTTGAGGTCATAAGTTCAATTCTTGTTGTTAACATCCTTGTTTTTATTTTATATACCTGTTAAATAATGATGCGCAAAGACAACGGTTATTTAAAACTGTTGCCTTTGTAGTGTTGTGTATTCAAATACGCTTAAAGACAACATACCAAAGACAACGGTTAAATAAAACCGTTGTCTTAAACAAATAAAGAACGCGCAACGACAACGGTTATATAAAACCGTTGTCGTTTTAGTGTTGTGTATTCGAGTGCGCTTAACGACAACACACCAACGACAACGGTTAAATAAAACTGTTGTCTTTTTAAAAAAAAAGAGCTCACAAAGACAACGGTTTTAAACAACCGTTGTCTTTCTAGTGTTGTGTATTCCAGTGCGCTTAAAGACAACACACCAACAACAACAGTTAAAAAAACCGTTGTCTTATTTAAAAAAAACGCACATAGACAACGGTTTTAAAAAACCGTTGTCGTTGTGGTGTTGTCTTTTCACAAAATGCACAAAGACAACACACTTATAACAACGGTTAAGTAAAAACCGTTGTCTTTGACAAAAGTGTTGCATCAAAGACAACGGTTTTGGACCAAACTGTTGTCTTTTATACAAAAGACAACACTTTTCTTAAAAACTGTTGTCTTTCTAGTGTTGTCTATGTGCATTTTTCTTGTAGTGGCTCACTCATTTCAACCCACAGCAGGGATTTGCCACTTTGATTCAGAAGAAAACTGGGTAGCCTATGGTCCACCGCCCAATGGTTTGGACATAGAAAGTATTGCGTTGCATGAGATCGGACACCTTCTTGGACTTGACCACAGCGACATTCCTAATGCTGTTATGTGGCCTTATTTGAATGTAGGTGAGAAGAAAAGGGTCCTTCGAGGTGATGATATTCAAGGATTTAGGTTTCTTTATAATTTGAGATCCTGAAAATATAATGTTTTTTTTTTTCTCATAAAATTGTTTTGAAGACTAAATAGAAAATAATAATAATAACACCAACAATTGATGAGATACCCTATGATTTGTTCGGCACGTACTACATTTGATTCTAATGATTTACTTAATTAAATAGTCAAATGTCCTAAACATCTCCCTTTAATGGTGACGGATATATTATACTCACGACCCGACCCGGGGTAGCTTTTGAGCTCCAACGTGGTGCTTCGGGTCCGCGTTGTTATCCCGGGTCAGGTCGTGGGTATAATATATCCGTCATGAGTCCCCCACTCTCTTCATTGCGAGTGGAAGTCAACGAAAGAGAGTAGATATCTTGACCTGACCTCTATGCGCGAATGTAGTCGAGCTCACCACGGCCGAGGTGCCTTGTGGCGAGGCGTCTTGAGCCGAGGTGTCTTGGGCCGAGCTGTCCTGAGCCGAGGTGCCTTGTGGCGAGGCGTCTTGAGCCGAGGTGCCTTGTGCCGAGGTGTCTTGGGCCGAGGTGTCCTGAGTCGAGGTGCCTTGTGCCGAGGTGTCTTGGGCCGAGGTGTCCTGAACCGAGGTGTCTTGTGCCGAGGTGTCTTGGGTCGAGGTGAGACGTCTTAGGCTGAGGTGAGACGTCTTGGCCGCTCCACCTCCCTGCTCCGCTCCCCCCGGGTCAGTTTGCTCTGCGCATAATATATCCATCAAATGGTTTACTCATATAGTCGTATGTCCTAAATACCACCGTTAATGAAACTTTGGTTCATCTCATATACAGTACGTAACAACATAGAAGAAATTATGATTTTTTTTTTTTTTTTTTTTTGAAAAAGAAGAAATTATGATTTAATTTAACCAAATGGAATTCTTTTATATATATATAGACAGAGATTGTGTGGGAGAAGATAAGAACTAAAATAATTACAATTGATAGATTATATGAACTCGGGGGTCCGGATTATACAATCCGAATATATGTTTAAATATAAAAAAAAATAAAAAAAAAAATAATAGGGGTAGAAATATTATATTAATGGGATATATAACGCTATTACAGAGGC